CCCCCCCCAGCGCTTCTCCCTCCCAGGGCACCCTGCCAATTCATCTCTCCTGTTTCCCCTCAGCTCCTTGGACCCTTTTCCTGTTTCACTGCCCCTCCGACTTTCACCTGTTCTCGCTCCACCTTGCTCCACTCACTACTTACCCCCCCACACACATAACTACACACCATTCACCCTCCCCATTGCCCTCTAGAAAGGAGCAGCTTCAGAACAAATCCAATTTGAAGAGTATCCCTATTGAAGCTGGTGTCCAGGTGTGGGTTTAGAATAAAATGAGGTCCCATCCTCTTCCCGGCGTATTATTTGTATTGTATTAGCACCCAGAGGCTGCTGTCAGGATTGGAGCCCTGTTGTAGAAATGTAGCCGCGTTAGTCTGGTGTAGCTGGAGCAAAATGCAGGACTATGTAGCACTTTAAAGACTAGCAAGATGGTTTATTAGGTGATGAGTTTTTGTCTGTGAGCTAATGGTATTAGAGGTGATAATTGGGGAAGCTATCTTTGTAATGGGTAAGGTAGTTGGTGTCTTTGTTCAACCCCCCACGGAGAGTGTCGAATTTTAGCATGAATGACAGTTCAGAGGATTCCCTTTCAAGTGCAGATTTGAAAGTCTTCTGGAGTAGGATGCATGTAATTAGGGCCTTTGGTATATATGGTTGTGACTATTTTCTTCCACTATTTGATCTGAGGAAGTGGGTCTGGCCCACGAAAGCTCATCATCTAATAAACCATCTTGTTAGTCTTTAAAGTGCTACATAGTCCTGCATGTTGTAGACAGGCAGCCATGGTCTCTGCCACAAAGTGATTACATTTTAAGGTAACAGGAGTTGAGAGAGAGACATCAATTTGTAAGTTACATAATATGAAATTAAGCAAATATGTAGTCTCCAGTAGCTCCAAGCTTACCTATCATTTGTTGGTTAATTGTCACTTAGTTCAGCGTCTTTTAAAAAATCTTGTTGGACGTAGCCTAGTGAGGGTACCTCAGGTAAGGGGAGACTAGATGATGTCTGTACAGAACTTTGAAGATAACAGCCCCATATATGTGCAAAATGTTATCTAACATTCGGCGTGGATTTGATTTAAATTGAATTGATTTAAATCAGTAGTCAGGAAGACTCTAATCATGGGTTTCTACATAAAAGTGCATTCTTGTTGGTTATAACTTTTTCATACATGTTCAACTCAAAGATGTAGGTTTCATTTTTAGAAGATACTATACATTTTTAAACTGATTTATTTTGAAAACGTTTCAGATTAGTTTTACAGCAATATCAGAAAATGAATGATTGTTTGGTTATTTCTTTTACCAAAGGTGAATTGAAGCAGATGTTTGTGAAGTCAGTGGAAGATGAACTATCTCCAGATCAGCAGGTTAATCATGAGTAATAGGGGGATTTTCTAATAGGAGGATTTTCTTGCTATGCTATTAGAAGGAGAACATCACCAGAGAGACCTTTACATTGTTTTATTTAACTAAAGCAGCAATGTTATGTATTATGGATTTTTTTCTTCAACAGCAAACATAATATTTTAACAACACAAGCATATGAATTTATGAATTAAATTACACATTTAAGTTTTTTAAAAGATCAAGTTTGTTTTTGTTAAAATTGTTTGTTAAATGACTTAAAAAAACAAAAATCAAATTGTGAGAGCCAGGTCAACATGAGAAACTTAACATATTGGCTTCTGCAGCTAACTCAGTCGTCTTCACCTTCATTTCCTGCTTGTTCAAAATCGGGAAAAGAAAAACAAGCTTTCCAGCTTTTTTCAGGTCACAAAAAATTTCTCAGTTTGGAACGAATTAGTCAAAGGGAAGAAAATATTCTTTCTGCGCCGCCAGAAGCTATTACTACTGCTGTTAAAAGTGATATTATCGCTTCAGCTGTCTCTGAATCCAAGTGCTAAAGTGACTTCCACCAGTTCACTAGTGTGACTTTCTTGAAAACATCATCAGCAAACATGTATTTCTTGAATGGGTCACCCTTAGTTCTGAAGTTTATTATAGTTGGCATTATGGAGAGATGATTACTGGATGTCCGTGTCATAGCCAACTCTTCTTCTTCAGCAGTTAAGGTTTGACCCTGGTACCAAGTGTCAGAAGTATTTGTAAGGAAATAAGCTGGAGATAGTGCTTGTTCAATTCATATTTTTAATGCTTGTAATTTAACTCTGTTATTGCGTATTTCTCTTTTAAAGATTTCACTCGGTTCCTTCCAAATTTCAGCAGCACCAGCCACAAAACAGCTATTTCCCTGCATTTTGTTCAAGGCTACAGAAATAGGCTTCCGTGTACTTAGCATGTGTTCAACATGGCTCTTAAGCCCAATGTTGAGAACTTTGGCTGTGACAGTGCCATCTGTTCGTTCCCAATTTTTATCCATCCTGTTGGCTTAGAACTGTTATAGGCAGTGCTGCAAGATATGCTAAACAGTTGTATCCCCCTTCATGCTGCTTTCACTTTCAAGTGACATTGTAAGTAACATGAGGGCAGCATTATCTCCCATTAATGTAAACAGGTTTGTTTTAGTGATTCGATGAACAAGAAGTAAATATCCCTCTCCACGGATATATTTAGTAAAAGGCGGAAGATTTATATGAGCTGAAGAGAAACCAGAGTACTAGGATTGACAACTTTTGTAAGCTCGAAAATTTAAATTGTTTTGTTTTTAAATGCAGTTATGCAACAAAAAAACCCTAAATGTGTAAGTTCACTTTCATGATAGCGATTGCACTACAGCACTTGTTTCTTTTGTTTCTTTTTAACAGTGAAAGTATTTCTAATAAAAAAATAAATATAAAGTGAGCACCGTACATTTTGTAGTCTATCTTGTAATTGAAATCAACATATTTGAAAATGTGGGGAAAAAAAATCCAAAAATATTTATGGTAAATTTAAATTGGTATTCTTTTAATAACGTGATTAAAACTGATTAATCATGATTACTTTTTTAATCGTTAATTTGTTTTGAGTTGTGTGAGTTAACTGTGATTAACAGCCCTACCTACAAGTCATTGTATCATTTCATGTGAACATCCTCCTTTTGTCATTTTCAATATTTTTTGGTATGACGTTTTCTAATACAGTAGAGTGAGGGGCTTATATATTCCATCCAGTAATGAGATTTTCTTTTTTCAGATTTTGCCTGTGGCCCACACAAAGATACATCCGGATCAGGTATCATATAGCCAGCATTTTGTTACGTGTTTATTCTGTCTATGAGTGTCAGGATGACATTTCAGTTTTATTTACAGTTTCAGGTTTGGCTTCATCTAAGAAGTTATGAAACTTTAAATAAAGCTGAAACCAATAGTTCATTCTCTAATAGGTGAATATTGAACTTGATCTGGAGGGACTGATGTACTAAAGACTTAGTTCGTTAGAAAAAAAAACCATGATTGCCTTTCAACTTAGTATATTTCAAGGTCATAAAGCATCATTAGATGATCTAGTCTGACCTCCTTTACAACACAGGCTACAGGACTTCAATTTGTTACTCCTGTATTGAGCCCAATAAATTATCTGACTAAAACATCTTCTTCAAAGACATCCAGTCTTGATTCGAAAACATCAAGAGATAGAGAATCTGTCTGTATAATGATAGTTGGAAGGTATTTTAGAAGATATTTATTATCCCCTTCCCAAATATTAATCTGTTTAATGGTTAACATAATCAAAATAATTTATAGAAAATACAATAGGAACATGGTAATTTTAGTTAAATATATACCAAAGACACATGTTTTTTAAAAATGGAAATCAAAGACATTCCATATAGGACTATTTAGGTATCACATATGCAGATCCATAAAAATATCTATTTCTGTGCTCTTCAGATGAGAATAGAAACGTCCACCTAAGTCACTCTGGATAGCATGTCTAGGGCCCTGCACATCTACAGCTGTCTGTGGCTCAAGTTTGCAAAGACGGATGCAGATCATAGGACTGCATTAGCCTTTTTTACATGGCTGCATCACAGAGTGGTTGCCCAGAGTCATTCTTGGATCAACTATTACTACTCCTACTACTACTATTATATATTCTTTAGCCTCTCCTATTGATCATAGATCAAAAGAGCCAAATTTCCCCCGTTTTGCTCATGTAAATATCCATAAACTGCCAGATTTAGAGAATTATAAGAGCAGTATTTAACTTAAGTGTAACTATGAAGACACCACATTTTAGTTTTTTGGGGAAGCAGAGATATAGCTACTAAATCAGTTCTTGGATTTTGAATATGAAAGTTCAGGTTATTAACATTTCCTTGGTTTAGAAAACAATGTTCCCCTATGCCAGATGTTCTGCTCTTCTGTTCTCCTGTACATAACAGTGAGAAAATGAGGTCTAGCAATTCAGTTTGCAAAGACATATTTGGCATTTTATTGTGTTTAGCTTACAGAGGTCAAAACCGAACCACACTGGAAACAGACTTTCTGTGTAGCATCAGCGTCCTCAAACTTATATAGTGAAAACCAAATTTTAAGAATAATTGACACCTACCCTTCCAGTCAGTCACACTCTATTCTTTAGTCAACTGCAACAAATTGCTTCTGTTGAAGATACATTATATAATTTCCCAATATTTATTTTAACTGGCTAATTGCATGTTAATAGCAGGAAATAAGATAGAGGAACCAGCACTGTGCGCCCAGCAAATGCTGGGGCCCACATTTGACAGTTTGGGGGGTTTACCTCATCTTCCTTCCCATATTGAATCAAGTCATTGAAAGCAAACATGTCTGAAGCATACCTGCCTCAAATTCCAGTTTGGGGAAGTTTTGAATGGGGACATTTGCTGGTTGAGACCCCTCAGAAATACAGCATTGTGTCTCAACAGCCAGACACATTGTGGTCTAAAGAATCAGACATTGGGCTGGAAGTCAGGAGACCTGAAATCTGTTCTCAGTTCTTTTACTTCCCTTGGGCAAGTTACTTCACCTCCCTGCCTGTCTCCTTTTCTACCCTTGGGCTCGTCTATTTAGAGCAGGGCTACTCAACATGCAGCCCTTTTGTTTGCAGCTCACAGGGCAGTTTGGGTTTACGCAGGACCCCACATGCAGCCTGCAGGTGGGATCCTTTGAACGTGGCCTCCACTGGGAACATGCTCCACAACAGTGAGGCATCTCCGAGGTGGGATGAGCATTGAAAGACGCAAGTGTATGGGCTGGCTGGAACAGATGGGTACAGGGTTCTGGCATTTCTAGCCCCCAGAGAGGAGGTGCCGGGAGCGCTGGGGCATTGTGGGAAGTGCTTTGTATTCATGCCTGTCAGTGTGAAAGAAGCTATTTGCATGTATATGCAACCATACTTAAATTGTGACCCTCTGCATGTGCTGAGAGTATCATTGTGGCCCCTGGGACTTCCAAAGTTGAGTAGCCCTGATTTAGAGTATAACTCTGCCAGCAACTGTCTCATTATGTCCCCCTACAGTGCCTAGTGTACAGGCACCATAGCAAATGCCCTGTTTCATTACTGAAATAATGATGACAGAATGTCATGTTGAGGGGCCTGCAGTAGTTAAAAAATTCGTGGATGTAAGGATCAACCCATATCTTTTAAACCACATCCCAGAGGTCAGGATGATATACCAACAAGTTAAGTGACATGGAGAGTTTGTATTCCACATTAGTCATAAGGAAAAGATGGACAGTAAAAAGGCAGAGAGCGATTGTGTGGTAAAGCAGAGTTTATAACCGCAGAGAGATACTTATCAGTATGTATCCTCTTATCTTTCAGGGCTTTTAAAAAAGCTGATACAGGCTGAACCTCTCTAGTCTAGCACCTTTGGGACCTGACTGGTGCAGAACCAGAGAATTTGCTGAACTATGGGAAGTCAATATTGCCTAGCAGCATTACCCAACAATTTCACTGTCCACTGCGCTCTTAGAGGACACTGATGGGTAAATTAGAGCTAAATAACAGCACAGAACCCTGAGAGCCAGGACTGGTGGCTGTAAACAAACTTTATGGGACTGTGGGAAACTTGGCCACAGCCATGATAAGTGGACATCCGGTTAACTCAAATCATGCCGGACCATAGCTGTTGCTGGACCGGAGAGTGCTGGACTAGAGAGGTTTGACCCGTACTATACATTAAGATATGGAAGCAGTGTCCAAAATGACTGTTAGGATGGATGCCAGTAAAGCAAAGCTGTTCCTGTAGCTCAGAACAGTTTCACAGTACTCAGAAATAGTAATCTAAGTAATCCCAATACCTTAACGATCTTTTCAATTCAACTAAAATGTATCCGTTTCATCAAATCCGTGCAGAGTCATCTCCGCACTGATAATACCACTGAGCTTTGTACAGCACTTTTCATCCGTAGAATTCAAAGTGCTGTATGAAGATAAATATCCTTTTTCATAGGTGTAAAATTGGGGACATGGAGAGGTGTAGTAATTTACGAAGAATACACAGAAGGCCAACTCTTGATTACAGTTAAAAGAAGCTTAACTGTTAAACACGAGTGATTGTTTTGCCCCTTAGAAGTGAGCAGTACCAAAATCCTACATATTTGGTTAGCAATGGTTCCCATTTTTATCTGCAATGCCACAGTCTGGCACATCTTATGTGGTCACCTCGGTAACTAGAGCAGATATTTCAGAATACTCGTAAGTGTACGATAAGCTAATTACTCTGTTTTATGGTACTGTATGGATGATAAAGCAGCAAATTGGAAAAAATCTATATTTTTAGCAGACAAGATATTCTCAAAAAAATTATTCTGCGTTGTGAAGCTACCACTTGTTTGCGGATATTGCTAGCAATTTCAGTGTTTCTAAATAATACTTTATTTTGTTTCAGAAACTGGGTGAAAGTGTTCAACAGCTTCTACTAACAAAAATTGCAGTCTACCTGATGACTTTCTTAATAGTAACAGTGGCCTGGGCAGCACATGTAAGGTATGAAAAGTGGGAATATATTTAAAAGTGGATCCTTCGTCTCTGAAGTTAAAGAAAGATTAGTTTAGTGGAAATGACCAAAGACATTATGTGAAGTTTTTCTGGACAGTTGCACTGAGAGTGCCTAATAGAGAGAATGTTTTGGTTAAAAACTATTTGATATTAAGCCATCTTTTTGTAGTGTTTTTAAAGCTATAGAAAACACAAGATAGGAGATACATGGGGAAACTTCTTTTAGATAACACTGGAAGAAGGTACAAACATTTCTTGTACTACATCCTCAACAGTACCACAGTAGCAGCAAAGTAATGGAAAACAAATACTGCACTTTTAAAGTCAAGATATTTTAGAGATGTCTACTATAAAATATGCGAGCTAGATCCATTGAGAATTAAAGTAGTGAACTGGATTAGAGCTTGCTTTTATGTCCTTTCCAGTGCACATAACATCACTTCTCTCCCCCACAGCATTTTCTTTAAAAGGGAGTGAGAGAGAGGTGCATTTTATAGGAGGTACAGATGGTGCCTCTTCCCAGCATGTTTTGTTAAAAGGAAATTGACAAAGAGGCCTTTCCCCATCTTTTCTTGTTAATTGTGTTGATGTGAGAGTCAATGAAGTCCATCTCACTTTTTCACATCTGTATTGGCTTTGCACCAGTAGTGAAAATGTATTTCAGTAAACAGATATGATTTAGTCACATAAGAAACAAAGAAAATGCCCATTTTACATAGTTGCTCTTCTGAGTCCAACTGCCGTTTGAAAATTAAAAATGGATGATTTACTAATCATTTTCCCCATACACAATTGAATTTCAATTTCCTTATCTTGCATTTTTATTTTCTTAATAAATGTTTTTATGTATCAGATAATCAGATACTTGTTTTTTCAGCCAGGCAGATATTTATTGTTCACAGCTAACGTTGCTTATGTAAAATACTGATCGGTGGAAATATGTTTATATATCATGCCATCAGTGCCTATTTTTACTGGGTCGGTTGGGTCATGGCTTTTTGTCTTGTTCTTGCAGACTGTTTCAGGTAATCGAACTGATAGATGATGTCCTTGCCCTTCTAAATTTGGTGAGTCTCTATCAGCTGTGGTTGGTATTGAACCAGCAAATGAAAGGTTGAGATGGATACAGGTCTCTGTCAGAGCTACACCTTCTAATAAATTTGTATCTCGATACTGTCAACAAAGGAGCTTGCCTTTTTCGTCTGAGAAGTAAATGGGCCAAACAGCGAAAACAGATAGAATCATGCAGCTTAATTTCCCTTTTCTGTAAGGGACACTGAATTGCCTGTACAGCTCTTGTTGTCCCAGAGGAACTCAGCCATGAGCTAAAGCAAGGGTGGTTAGCAGGTCAGTCTGGAGTCTATCTGAGTAATTAAAGAGGGGAATTCTGTCTCAGTGCCCTGGTCTATGCTAGGGAGTTATTTTGAAATAACAAGCAGAACATCCATGCTACCAAGCTCGTTATTTCAAAATAATAACTCCTGCTTTCCACGAGGCATAACCTTTATTTTGAAATAGCAGTAATGTGGATCCTCCACTGCTGCTATTTCAGAATAACTTCCCCCTGGAGTCATTCAAAATAATTACTACCCAGTGCTTCCTGGGGCTCCAAGTCGAGGTAGCGTGTCCTCATTAAGGGAGCCTGCCTCAACTAATTTTGAGGCTTCCCTGTAGTACGGAGGCACTATTTTGAAATAGTTATTTTGGGAGTTATTATTTCAAAATAATTTCCTAGTTTAGACATGCCCTAATGGCCTATATGCTGGCTGGATTTCTATCTCTGAATAGAAGAAATGAGTCCAAACTGCAGAAGTCAGGGTTTTACTTTGTCAAATGCCTGACGGTGGGTTTGGATCACGGTTTATAGTTTGGAGCTTATTTGTTTAGGGTTTTTTAAAAACCCTAATATTTAAATATGAATATTTGAGATGCAGGATTAATCCTTTTTTTTTTTTTAAGCTAATACTGAATACTAGTTTGGTTCTTGAGTCACTTTAATGAACCTTACTTTTATCCTAAATCTTATTTTTGGTTTAAAACCAATCATTTAAAAGATATTGGTTTATTTATTAGCCTGTTTGAAGAGTTTTCTTTAACGAATAATGCTGTAATAGCTGTATTGTTACTGTGGGTGGCTGCCCTCTAGTGGGAGTATTGATCAATTTATCCTGAGTGTCATAATTCTATTCTGTTGTTTTAAACCCCTTGGCTATGTCTACACTGGCGGGTTATTGCGCAAGAACAGCTGTTCTAGCGCAAGAATCCACAGAGCATCCACACTGCCCACCCGCTCTTGCGCAAGGAAATTTAGAGTACAGCGTGGTAAGAGGGCTTTTTGCGCAAGAGCTACGCTCATTTTTAACAGGTGTAAGCCCTCTTGCGCAAGAGGGCAGTTTAGTCGCTCAGCAGGGATTTCTTGCAGAAGAAAGCCCTATGGTAAAATGGCCATCAGAGCTTTCTTGCGCAAGAGTGTGTCCACACTGCCATGGGCGCTCTTGCGCAAAAGCACACGGCAGTGTGGACATTTTTTGCGCAAGACTTCTTGCACAAGAACCCTTGCGCAAGATGCCTTCAGTGTAGACATAGCTCTTTAGTTGATAGGAGGCCTGTCACAAAATTGAATTAAATAGAAATGTTAAATTGATTTTGCTAGCAGCAAACTGACTTGAAGTACCATGACACTACAATCAATGAAATACTCAGGAATTGGTTAAAACATTTAATCCTCTTTTAATGTTGCATTTTAGACAAAACATCTTTATGTGGTTCTGGTTTTTTTTCATTGGTGAAATATTGGGGATCAGAGAGATGTTTTTTTCAATCAGCTCAAATTCAGTCTGATGCACTGGGGTAAAATACCTGATTTTTGGATTACCACTTAAGAAGAGAAATAAGATCTAAACTAAATATAAACTATAAAACAAAATATATATTTGCATAAAACTAGACTAGTGACGACAGACATTCTGATCTGCTAAAATCAGTCTGGAGTTGAAGTGTTAAGGTGGAAAATTCAGCTCTGTTGAATACTTTATAGACTTGCTCTAAATCTCTGAATCACTTAAGGCTCTTCAGTGAAGACACGACTGTGCTGATGGGAGAGCTTTTCCCTTTGGCATAGTTACTCCACCCTGTGCAAGATGGTAGCTAGGTCAATGGGCAAAGCCCTTCCATCAGTGCAGCGCTGTCTACACTGCAGGTGGGGTCAGTACAACTGCATTACACAGGGATGTGGATTTTTCACACCCCTGCATGACATAGTTACACCGATCTAAATTTATAGTATAGAGCTGACCTAAGAGAACTCTTAAATCTGCTCCATAGTGATGCATTCCTTACAGGGTTCAGGTAGCAAGGTCAGGAACTAACTATTTTATTGTGACTCAATGCTTGCATTAGAGATTAGAATTTCTTATTTGTTGGTGTAATCCCTAACCGGGATGGACTCCCAAGATTTATGAGGTTTTTTTCTCCCTTCTTTCTAGGCATGCATGATGCTCATAACTTTCTTGCCATATACAGTAAGTAAGATTTACATTTTCATTCATGTTTGGCTGTTTTGATTTTTAAAAAGACCTATCTGAAGCTTTTAGAAACTTGAGAGCATCAATATGACGCCTGAACCCCATTGCAATACATAAGTATGATTTTTCTGATAATCCTAAAAACTGAATCTATTAAAACATGATTAGGGCTTCTGTTTTTGAGAGTTTATTAATTTCATTGTGGGGGGGGGTATTTTTAATAAACATATGAGTTCAATGTAGCTATCCAAAAATGAGTGTGTGTGTGTGTGTGTGTGTGTGTGTGTGTAACCTCAGAGTTACAAAGACTGGAGTTAAAAACTGATCAGTCAACCACACACCTCATTTGGAGGCAGAAGTATGCAATCAGGCAGATGTCCCACCCCCAAAAAGCAAATACAGTAAAGTACTGTGTTAAATGTAAACTACTAAAAAAAAGGAAAGTTTTAAAAAAAGATTTGACAAGGTTTGTAAACTTTCTGTGCTTTTTTAATTTAAAATGATTAAAAGCAACATTTTTCTTTCACAGAGTAAAGTTTCAAAGCTGTGTTAAGTCAGTGGTTAGCTGTAAAGCTGCGAAAGAACAATCCTAAGGTTATGAACATTTCTGAGTTACGAACAACCTCCATGGAGTTATGCCAAGGAGGAATTTGTCTTGTTTAGATTTTTCAAGTTTAAAGGTTAAATTGAAGTAAAACTGGTACATTTTTCTTCTCTGCTGCTTTCCTTTATTACAGCTGAGAGTGTTTAACCTGTTGATATTTTCCTTTTAGTTTTCCTTAATGGCCTCCTTTCCAGCTGTACCTTTTGGTATTTTCATGTTTAGCACTTGTGCTGTTGTCATCGGCCTTATCCAGGTATGGGTGTCACTCCTTTCCTTTTTCCATTCAATATTGGAAACTAGATTTTATTAGATGGCAGGACAATCAGATTTGTTAATAGTTGATCTAAAACTTTAGGTTTGCTGCATATAAAATGTTGTCATATTGCTGTTATTATTCAAGATGTGTTGCTCATGTCCATTCCAAGTCCCCCTCACTTCTCCTCTGCCTGACTGTTCGAGCAAGAAGGAACTGAAGAAGTGGCATGCGGGTAGGGATCTAGATACATAGGCATGAAGGCGTCATTCTAGTGGTCTCCACAGCCAATGGATATGCTAGGGAAAATCTTCCGACAGTTGTGCACCTGGTGTGCGCACGTCTTGAAGAGCAAGAGCTAGGAAAGGTAAGTAGCTGTTGTTCTTTTCCAGGAATACAGACTCCCACTAGTTCCACATAAGTAAGCATGTCAGATCAGGAGCACAAAGAGCAACAGTTAGCGTGGTCTGGGGCTTGTTGTACTAGAGGTTTTCTGTAGGTTCCAGTTTAGAAACATGACTTTGACTTGTCTAAATATCCACTGTGGACCGGTATCAACCCTTGTCTCCTCTCTGCAGGCAGTGATAGTAGTCTATGGCTTCTATCATCCCTACTTGCTAAATCGCCAGATACAGGTGTCTGAAAACCAGGCCTTCTACAAACATCACATCTTACAGATCATTCTGAGAGGACCAGTTGCCTGCTTTTTAGCAGCCATTTTCTCCTTTTTCTTTATCCCAATGGTAAGTTCTTCAAATGACCGTTGTTCTAAAAAACAGACTGTCTCGGTTGAAAGTGTGGCCTGGTGAACTTCATCTCCTCAGTTACATTCAGTGTTACTCCTGATAAAGTAGCATGCAAATCCTAATGCACAACGTATAAGCTTAGTTAGGTTAGGAATTGCTGAGGAGATTTAAAACACGTCTGCCTAAAACGCTAGCTAGCATAATGCAGGTGGCTCTCTGACACCAGCTGACAAGTGGCCTAGGTCAGTGGTTCTCTCATCTTTACAGCTGAAAAGATAATTATCCCTGGACTCACAGCTAAGTCATGATGCCCTAAGTCTGATGGAAACCGCCCAGATTGCGAACCATAGGCTTGGTTATCTAAAGTCTCTTTTTGAATCCATATTCCTTTTTTATAGAATACAATCCAGTGTTTCTACCCACCTGGACTTTTCCTTGTATGACAGAGGCTTTGTCTACTCTTAGCAGATAAGAACAGTGTTTTAACACACCAGTGTGGTCACACGCCAGCGGTGGGAGGGAGCGCTCCCAGCACTTGAAAAAAACGCCACAGCATAGCTTCCAGTGCTGGGAGCTGGTGTACACTGCGCTTTACAGCCCTGCGTGAGAGAGTTGCCCGTGTAACTTGCCCGTGTGGACAAGCCCAGAGAGTGAGGAATGCATTTGTAATCTTTTGACTTCCCATCCCCAGAGACCAGGATCCCTAAAAATCTTCATTTGCATTTTACAAAGATTCTCTGTAGTGGGATGGCCCATTGAAATGCCAATTATACCTAATGTAAATGTGTTCCATTACTACGGGAACTGATAAGTGAAACAATACAAGTAACATTCCGCTACCTTCCATGAAGTTTAAACGTCTGAACATGCACTTATATGTCAACAAATCACTTTGTTCTACAGTAATATGGTTCAGATATCAAATACTCTAATACATTGAATAATTGCTTTGATCTACATTGAGATACAAGTGAATTGTCCTGGTTCTGACCTGAGTAGTCATCTGACCTGAGCAGTCGTCTGATGTGCCACTAATCTTCCACATTGGGTGAATTTACCCTAAGGCCTGGAAATAGGGCTTAGGAGCAGTTTTTTTTTTTTTAAGTACAATTGTGCAGACAGGTGTGTTTGTGTTAGGAATGTGTCGTTTGTGTTACACCTATGCAGGGATAGTCCAAATTAAATAAAAATTCAAGGGTGGTGAATTTTTCCCCCAGCAAAACAGCACAACCCCTTTATAACACATTGCTTCGATGCAGTGGATTGACTACTGTAATGGAGCCAGAAGAGTTCTGAATATGTTTTATAAAGTTTGTAGCTGACCTATTAGAACAAGAATGGACAAAGCATACCAAACAGCCTTGTCTCCTTTGAGCCACTGCAGACTTGGAATAGCAAATGACAGGTAGCTCAGGGAGCAATGGGAACTGAAGGTCACCAACTTCCACACACACAGGAGCACTTAATTTTTGTGTCATAGGCTTAGCAGTATGTTTATTTTCCTTCCAGTCTCAGTACTTCCCCATTACAGGTACTAGATTGAACTTGCTGTAGGATGTGGAGGAGGCAGGTATTAGTGTGTGCTCCTAATAGCCAACATGAAGATGAGTCTTGAGAAACTCCATGTGAGTTACTGAGTGTTGGACATACATATTAAGGTGGTGACTGTTCACTTGTGACTTTGCTCACTGTCACAAGATGTATACTTTCTGCCACTGTCAGGGTAGTTCAGTGTTGCAAATTCATGAGCTGAGTGTTACATCAACATGTTCATGAAGGATAAACAGCCCAGTTAGTGTGTACTAAGAACAAAATAATGGTATTGATCTTATAATAACTGACAATTAAAACTGTTTTTATTCCTTTCCATAGTCTTATGTTCTGCTTGGGCTTGTTTTCTTTTTTCCACACATCGCTCGGTTAATTATTTGGTGTAAAACCAAGATTGTTGGTAAGTAGCAGTATCCGTAAGGAATGTATTTCAGTTTAGATACTCTAGTCAAGTTGATAAATTAAAACAATGTCTTTCGCAGTGCCCTCTGCTGTCTGAAATTTGAAGGAATCTGTGTTAAAAGTGCTCAGGTTCAGGAGCAAGTTTGTCAATAATTCTAGTTCAACTTGATTTGACACACCAATAAACTTTTAATTCTGTCCTTCCATCCTACCCCTTTCTGGGAACTTTGCCCTGGCTTAGCTTAATTCGGGCCATACCCATAGAACACTCATGTATCAAGATTCTCCTCTGACCTGTTTGGAAAGGAGCATAGTAACTGAATAATTTCATGTCTCTGTCTGATCATTGGTTCTGGCCCCCCTCGCCAAATTCATATTTAAAAATATCTCAGTATCTGTTGCATGCCAAGTATTCCGGGGGGGGCAGCGCCAGTGACTTGGAGAAGAGAAGTGTTGATGATAGACAAGTGTAACATTATTCTTCATGTTGATTGTGGTCATACCTAAAGACCATCCAAGAATGGGGTCCTATTGTGGTAGGCCCTGCGGAAACATCTAATAGTACCTGGCCACTTCCCCAAAGAGGCTATAATTGATACAGACCAGACTGACCCGGTGTGGGGAGGGTTATAAGCAGGGTGAGCAATGTGGTAGCAGCCAACGGCCTGGCGAAGGGAAGGAGAATGGAGGGGGATGGCAGGAGTGAAGAGCTGGGTGTGGAGTGAATCTGAGGTGACAAGACGGGGCGGGGGGCGGAATGTATTGGAACACGGAGTTGCTGTACAGAATGAGGCTGGTTACACAAAAGCTGGGATTTTGCCAACACTGAGGAATCGAAGGTTTACCACAGTACACTGGGAGTGGGGCGAGGCCAGAGGGTTTTCTCTTGCTGGCAGCAACCCTTGCATGCCTGAAGCACAGGATTTGCTTAGCCTGGTTCTTATCGCCCCTCTGATATCCTTTCAGTCCCCCCACCCCTTCCTGGGTTGGGCTGTGCTGGTGTAAGGTCTCTGTTCTGTCTCCTTGCTCCCCCTGCAGGCAGAGCCAGCGGTGGAACACAGACACCAGCCTTGCTGGGAGAGCTGGCTGCTTACCCCTTGCACCGCCCCTGCACCCCTTCTCCTGTCTGAAGGCTGGATTTGGGGGAGGAAGGCAGCTTCCCCAGCTGCTGCAGACAAGCTGCATAGGGTAGGGTTGGAGGTCTCGGCAGAGCACACTGCACTTCTTCCTCCTCATCAGTGCAGCTGCTGGCCTGGGAGAGCTTTTGGGCTCCCAGACCTCTTGCCGACACCCCAGGAAGCACAGTGGAGTGTGAAGGGTCTTGTATGAAGGGCCTTATGCTGCGGATAGCTTATGCCTGTTACTGGCCTAGGCTAAGCCCCTTTACCCCAGGATAGCTGCAGCCATGCTGGAGGGGGTCTAGTGCTTTCCCCATCCCAGTTACGACTTGCATGTGTGTTCGGACCCCATGGCTTTCCAGAGGAGAAGGGGAGGCCCATTGCCCAAGGGGAAGGAAGGACCACAGGAAGTGGAGGAAGTCCTTTGCCAAGGAGTAGGAGTGCCAGGTGATGGCCCATGGGAGGGTGAATGAAGAGCTCCTGAGAAGCAGCTATGTCCTGGGGCTAGATACAGGAACAGCCCTAGGGTGTGAGGGGTATCGAGGGTTAGGTGGACTCATGCTAGGAAGTGTATATAGGGGTGGTGGGCCTACATAGTGCTGTAGGTTGGGAGCACGTGGGATGGTTGTGCAGGGAGACATAGGAACAAGCACTTGCTATCTCTGGTTGAAGATATAGGTCATTAGCAGCCTTACCTGGCCCCTATTCACCCTCCCCCCCAATAATGACAAAAGGTCTGACTGCCTCTAGAGAGATGGGAACCAGAGAAGCTTTCTGGCAAGTTTTAGCCTGGGATTTTACAACTCACAATGGCACCTAATAAGTTTAGGCTAATTTGAAAAGCCACCTTTATCCCTCAGTTTATATGGTTACCCTCTTTCTTTCTCATGTCAAACTCATTTGTAATGAAACACTTGGGATAGCTATAAAGACTGAGGAAAAGAAGAGATTGTGTGCAGACTTTTTATGGAATTATGGCAACTTGTGTGCGGTAAGAGACGAGATATTGATGTTTGACTCATTTTGTTTTCAAATGTGTGTTTTCCTTGGATTCCTGGAAGTGGCCGATGACTTTTATGAATCTTGAACTGCTTGTGCCTATAGGTAGCTTTTTTGTATTTCGTGCACTGGGACTAAATACATCACTGCCCATGTGATCTGGAGTAGCATTAGAGCTCTATCTTCCTGAGAAAGGGCTAATAAAATATAACCACTCAGACCAGGGCTCCGAGATCCATTAGAGCTTCCTGAGCTGTAGCAGGATTCCTGTCGTGTGACTTATCAAAATATTACACTAAAACACAAACACCGAGTCATAGTACACCTAGTACCAGCTGCATGTGAGGTGCTTCAGAGATTTCTTGGCCCTGGAAGGCCTCCTTATTTAAACAGGCAACGTAAGCTGCAGTGGAAAGCCATGTGATTAAATTGTCAGGTTGAGCGCTGCCTTGTTACTTCCACAAGTTTGAGGTGTAGGGGAGCAGGGGCATCCATCGAGGCTGCTGGCATTCTAGTTAATGCTTGTAGTTTACTGTTTTGATGTATATGGCATGCTGACTAAACTCCTGAATTATGGTTGGCAGGTCCAAAAGAGGAGGAGGAGCCTCATAGCTTAGAGTCCTTCACCTTTTACCTCAGCGAACCTTTAAGTAAGGACCGCATGGAGGCGTTCAGTGACGGCGTGTATGCTATTGTGGCAACCCTGCTCATTTTGGATATATGGTAAGGCTTTGTGCTGATTGACACACCCTGCATTGTCGGATATGAACTGAATACTAATACCCTTGCATACCGCTTTTCATCAGTACATCTCAAACACTTTGGGGGCTGAATATATTTCTCCTCTTGGCCTTGCCAAAGCAGGGAATTGAATCCTGGGTCTTCCAAGTCCTTATGGGGCTGAGTGTGGGTACATACATTTTTTGGTATTGAATGTGAATGCAGTTATTTTATTTTGACTTATACAAACAATTGCCTCAGTATTGTTTACTCCCTCTATGGCATCTGGCATTGGCCACTGTCAGCAGATGGGATACTGGGCTAGATGGACCTTTAGTCTGACTCAGTCTGGCTGTTCTTATTTTTTTATCCTAGATACTCACATGTAAACAAATCATACAAACTGTTAACAAATCATTCTTTTCCCCTTTCCATGTCTAGATTAATAAATCCCACCCCTCTTTAAAGCAATTATGCTTGCCTTTACAAGCTCCATTCTCAGAAGTGGTAGGATCTGTTTTTCCGAACGTATTTAGAAAGTCAGATGCTGGCTCTGTCAGGCAAAGCACTAGGATGGGGTGGCCAACCCATTTAACAAAGAGAGCCAAAACAGCGGTGGAAAAAATGCGAAGAGCTGCATCAGAATTGTCAAGCAAAAACAACAACAAAAAAATTATTTTTTTAAAAAGGAGGCTGCTCCTTTAAGACAGCCGCCACCTTGTGCGCCATTTTTAAAACCCTGCAGGGGGCAGGGATGGTTGAGGGTGGGGGGGACAAGAGTGGCTTTGTGAGCTGCACTTTTGGGGAGCGAGCCGCATGCGAATCTTGTGAGCCAAGGGTTGGCCACGGCTGCACTAGGAAACTGGATTCTATTGTGGTTGTTCTAGCATCAGCTGAAGAATCTACTTCTCTCTGCTGGAGAACTTTGTTATTGATAATGCATGATCCAGGAAGATTTCCAATCCAAGGATAAATTTTCAGAGCAGTGAATTATAAGAATGGCTTTGTAAACTGGGAGATCACTGAAGCACAATAAACCTGGAAGTCTCGTAGGTACTCTTCACAGTGAAACGACACATTCCCTGTCCTCGTGTTGTACCACTATCTCACTACGATGCAAACTAAAATAACTTGTTTCTCCACAGTGAGGACAATGTCCCTGATTCCAAAGAAGTTAAAGACAAATTCCATGACAGCCTCATTGAAGCTTTACGTGAATATGGACCAAACTTCCTTGCCTACTTTGCCTCCTTTGTAACAACTGGCCTTCTCTGGTTTGTCCACCACTCACTTTTCCTTCACATAACAAAAGCGACCCGATTTATGGGACTGCTCAACACATTTTCACTGGCTTTCATTGGTGGGCTTCCTCTCGCTTACCAGCTGACCAGTGAATTTGCAGAGAAGTCTCACAATGAAATAGAAGCTATTCAGGTCAGCTGTGTTATCACATTCTTTGCTAGCATCTTTCAGTTTGCTATATGGATCACAGCTTTGTTCCACGAAAGGGAAACCTTGAATCCATTGGCTAGGTATGGTGGCAGTGAACATGCCTTTATGTTTGCTAAGCTTGCTCTGTACCCTTGTGTCAGCCTCGGTGCCTTCTTTCTAACATGCTTGTTAAGTGAATTCAGCACAGCAATTTTTCACATCATGCAGATTGTGGTCCCATTTGCTTTCCTTGCCCTGCGCCTCCTTGTCACAATTTCTTTGGTGGTGATTAAATCAATATTGTCTCTCTCCAGACGGAAGAATGTAGTATT